GAGAGAGAGAGAGAGAGAGAGAGAGAGAGGGGGAGAGGTTGCTTATAGAATAATCTAAAATAATGCGACGTGTTTGAATATTTTGCGCAGTACTTGATCGAATATCGTATAGGAAGGTTTCACTGTCGACATCGTGCCACTTAGGGAGGGCTTTTACCTTCGTCGAGTGCTCGGGGCGTATTTGAAATGAGGACGACCGTGCCGTGGCATATTATGTGTATTCATATGTGGCACGAAGCGGAGGCTACACTCTACTACATGGCAATATGTGACAAAACAATTGATAGAATGCTGCGATAATAAAGTTACGCGACGTCACGTTAATGCTCGCAAGAAGCAACTCTCATTATTTTTTAATGTAGAAACTTCAAGAAATTTGATTACTAGCATTATTGTAAAATTATTTACTAGACAAATCGATAACTTGAAACGGATACGGATAAACATTAAGATGATGCATTTCTCTTGAAAGTAATTTTGGAAATTTTTTTATAACGCTTGAAAATTTTTGGAGCATAAACGTAATGAATAATTTTAGGCTCTCTTATTTGCTTGGAAATTCCGCAAGTATGTACAAGGTGCTCTTAAGTTTCGCACGCTAAATTTTCCTAATGATTTATCATAGTCACAACAAAGAATCGCGACAAAATAATAAAATACGTCGCAGTGCGTCTTCTTTATATGATTCACAGACGCAAATGAGTCACGCTATACGAATGCAACGATTCTCTCTCGTTATAGCCCCCATGTAATTCATGTAGTTTGACTAATCAATCGTATCCTGTAATAGAACGGATCCTAACAACGCACTGTTACGTTCATATAATGTAAAAGCGTGTTCCGAAAATGTCTATGCTACTTAATTTGAATCTATTACTCATGTAATTATTTTTTATTTTTTAATTATGATATGCATATTCTGGTTTTTCTAAAACAGTTTTGAGCGGTGGACCATTGATGGACGATGTTTACAAGTTGGAGCAGTACCACTGTCATTGGGGATGTAGTGATTCCAGGGGATCCGAACATACGGTGGACGGTCAAGCTTTTGCCGGGGAGGTAACACATAATTATCTCTTTCTAACAAGTCTTTTATCAGGTTTGATGTGTGTGTGTGTGTGTGTGTGTGGGTGGGTGTGTGTGTGTGTGCTAATAGACTTCTTTTAAACTCATTTTAAATTTAAATTTTTATGGATAAAAAACAGACAAGTAGATACGTTATTCTACTTCGCACACTTGATTCTCCAAAGTAGTTCGTTAGTAATCAAGTCAGTTGAAAGCATGATTCAGTGTTTGCGATCATTCGTACGAGCTTATGGCAGTGTTGACCTTGTACGACAGTTGCCACGCACGATTTATTAGCGCGATTATTTCTCCAAAGATAAACTCTGAAGCTCGTTACTAATTTCTAGTTATTAATTATTAATTATTGGCTATTAGTTGTTCATAGATATAAATAAAGCAAATTTTCTCCTTAAAATATAAATCAAACTTTATGGAGTATAAAAGCGTTAATTACAGGCAAACATATAATTATACATGTCGTTTATCTCATAAATAGAGCGTTATTATTGTCATACATTACATTGATAGAATACCAATGAATGTCAAAAGTCTTTTATACTCTGGCAGCTGCGTACGTCTAAGCCACATATCGGGTTACGAAAAGAAAATAAACGCGCGCAGAATGGAAACAATAATTGGTGTTATCATCGCAACTGCCACTTACGTGCACGAATAATTACTGAATAGTGTAGCGAGTTGTGTATCCATCTAAATACGTCGCATGTTGAAAGAATTCTTCAAACAAATGCCTGATTGTAAACTGTAAAAAGGATGCCAATAATCTACTGGGAAAATTGTGTGTTTTCGATACAATTCTAGGCTGCACGAGTTTATCGCGAGAATTTTTTTAGAAGTTTGCCACGATACTTTTGCATGAGTATTTCGAATAAAATGCATTCGTTTACTTGATTCACGACGAATCGATTACATAATCGTCTACGCAATGTGTTTCTAATCCTTCGTAAATAGTTGACTTCAACTTGACCCTGCTTCCGATCAACAAAATTATCGATGATTCTATAATGCATGGAAAATTTCTCCGCTGCGCACGATAGACGTAATGGAACTTTTTGAGTAGTAAAACAAACTTAAAGACGCATTATTATTTTACGAATATATAAAATACAATCCTCTTCTAAACAATCGTTGATTCTCTTGAACAAACATGCGACTTAACAGGCGACTGTCAGCCAATCCAAACTCGATATTAATTAAACGATCCGAGTCTTAAATGCATTAGCGAGTCAATTGAGGATCACAATGAGTTCGCATTCGATATGCATGTCCTCGACGCGCTCTCGGAACGCGCGGCGAGTGTGTGATGCACTGTCTTTCCGCCTCGAATGTGCAATAAACATTTGCTTTTGTAAACTGTGCACGACGATATAAATGATATCGTGTACGATTCCGCGCTTGGGGAAACCGGGTCGATCGGATTCACGAATATCCGAGGAATTTCAGCGTTCAGAGTCGCTGCACTGATTACATAATCTTTCTAATGACCACCCGTCAAATGCAATTATCATTTGTCGATGCCGATAAGGTTTTTTATTGTACGTTCCTAATGAACGTAAATCACGTGAACTATTTTAGATATTAATTGTTGGCAGTAGAACGAAAAAGTTGTGAGAAAAGAAAATGCTAAATAGGACTTAAAGTAAGGCAAAATGTTATTAATAATCATCAGTTTCCTTTAACAGCATGAATAAAGAAATTGATATATTTCTTAATTGATAGTGCAATTAAATAGTTATTATGTCTACTCAACCTATCATTTCACTCCTTGATTGCTTATTATTAAACTTAATATGCATAAGTGATTTAAATTCATTAGAGAACTTTGTTTTAGTTGCATTTGGTGCATTGGAATACCAGCAAATACAAGACTTTTGCCGAAGCCGCGAAAGCTTCCGATGGTCTGGCCGTTCTGGGAGTCTTCCTTAAGGTTCGTAATGCAATAGTGTTTCATTAATAGTAATGTCACGTATTACATTTAGAATAATTACGATATTTTTTTAGAATTAAAGAATTATTATATTGATGAATTTATTATCATTAAAATAATTATGACCTTTTATATCGCTATCTAATTAATTTTTATATTACATTAACAATGATATTTCGCAACATTTAATACATTAGTCGAGTAAATTGATGTGTAAACGTGCCGTCAGCTCGCAGATGAAACACGCAGAAGCCACACCTATTTCACACGGGATTCTAATTCGCTTATACCGGGTTATGTATTTATAGTCATTTAAGCTTTTACATAAGACGTAAGCTGCACAAGCAGAATCCATAACGGTGGAAGTGTCACCATCGATCGTCGTGCCGAATGATCGATTATGTAAACACGAGACAGACGTAATTACACTTCGCCGTCGTCAAACTTGGAACGAGATATGTACGTGCATTTTCAAGCGCGAACGACGTTTGTGAGCAAAGAGTACTTTGATCGCGTGCAACAGCAATTACTCATTTCCGCTTTGCACAATGCTTTGTATTTAACATTTAGGTTGCGGTGATCCGTCCCACAGAAACGCAAAAATTATTACATGACATTGGCAATGATTATAAAATTCTTCACACATAAATAAATAATATTCCTTGTCACACATAAATAATATTTCTTGCTGATAAGATTTGAGATAAATACATAAACTTTGCGACTGAGAAGCTCATTTCAAGTGTGATGTTCGTTTCTCACGAGACACTATGATTATGGCACTATTATCTTACATAACGTCACGCAGCTCAGAGATATGTTAAAGTCGTGTACGATGCAAGGAATATATCAAAGAAAATTTATGCGCCACGTGCAACTGTGACAACATGACCAGACAATTCGAAAAATATTGTTGTGCAATTGATAATCAACACCAACTCAAGTATTTTTATTGTTTTTCTATTTATCCCTCAAGTCGCTTGGCTATTATATTTTGCGACTGTTATCTTCACTACAGTTCTCTTAAACCGACAAGATTAAATCAACAAAATTAAATAACCTCCTTATATATTAATGATTTTAAAATTAAATAATCTAATGGGTTTTATTCTACTTTTTGCTGATTTGATTCTGAGAGTTTATGAGAATTCTTCACTACTTAAGAGGATGCTGGACTGGATAAAAATAAGAAAAGCATATGACATATTTTTTCAGTTAGTAGATGTATAGTATTATTTTTCAAATACAATATTTTATATAATATTTGGTCGAGGAAAAAAGAGCGAACATTATAAATTATCCGATAACACATACTCAGACCACACATCAATGTAGTGAATTACTAACAAAAAGA